TGTATACATGAAGATTAGTAAGACGAGGAGAGCTGAACTCGTTAGTAGCCTCACACTGCAGCGAACAAGGTTATGCCTTCAATTTCACAGCTACTAAGATTGTTGGCTGAGCAGGGACAAAAACAGCCAGAGAAATGATTGCCGCCTGGGAAACGGGACCCCATGTCAGTCAACAGGCGTGCTGATTTACCACCAGCTTACCAGGTACTGAGAAGCTAGGGGCCCGGCAGCACAAGGAAACAACAATCAACAACTTAGTAGCTGGCCATCAACATGGTAATTAACAACTAAAAGCCACACACCATCAGGCACCACAGAAATACTACACATAGAACAGCCGTATGTACACATTCTGGAAAGAGGGAAGTTCCCGGAGTATGGGCTTCAGCACAACTCCAAAAGCTTGGAATAATAAACCTTTGATCCCGGGATCGGATCCTGCAAAGTTAAGATTATACTAAAGGGAGGCATGATGGGAAAAAGAGGTTGAGACTCTAGAAAGAGGGCAGAGAAGAGCAACAAAGATGATCAGGGGACTGGAGGCCAAAGCATATAAGGAAAGGCTGCTGGAATTGGGTATGTCTACTTTAATGAAGAGAAGGACGAGGGGGGATAGGATAACAGCCTTCCAATATCTCAGGGGCTGCCCCAAAGAAGAGGGAGTCAAGCTATTCTCCAAAGCACCCGAAGACAGGACAAGAAGCAACGGATGGAAACTAATCAAGGAGAGAAGCAACCTAGAACTAAGGAGAAACTTCCTGACAGTGAGAACAATTAGCCAGTGGAACAACCTGCCTCCAGAAGCGGTGAATGCTCCAACACTGGAAGTTTTTAAGAAGAGACTGGACAGCCATTTGTCTGAAATGGTATAGGGTTTCCTGCCTGAGCAGGGGGTTGGACTAGATGACCTCCAGGGTCCCTTCCAACTTTATTATTATTATTATTATTATTATTATTATTATTATTATTATTATTATTATTAATAATAATAATAATAATAATAATAATAATGTTGAGGAACTCCTGGTGCAGAAGCATGTATATCTGGACCAGAAAGGGGAAAAAAGATCGAACAAGGAGAGTGTTTTAAGAACAGTTAAAAAGCCACAATCAGTGCTGGTAACCCCGATGCTTTGGATGTACAGCTGTTTGCAGAAAATGAAGTATATTCTTGTGCTGAATGCTAATATAAGGGGGAGGGGAGAACAGGACTGCTATTATCTGCTAGAAAGAATTCTTTGTGTTGCTTCAATATGCAACTGAGCCACAGGAAGGCTAGGAAGGGAGGTTAGCAATTAAAGTCCTTTGTGTGTCTTTTTTTCCCCCCTTTAAGAATCCGTTATTAGAGAGTTGTAGAATACGCAAATCTGGTTGAAAAAATTGTTTTAAAAGCTTTCCATCTCCAGCTCATATAAAGACATTGTCTTCAGTCTAAGACAGGGGTCCCCAACCCCTGGGCTGCCGCCCACCAGTGGGCCATGAAGATTTTGCAACCGGGCCGTGGAAACAGCAGGCGAGCGTGCGCACGCCGACTCCAATTGCGTGAGTGGCAGGCGTGCACGCACGGCGCTCGCGCAAATGGAGCTGCGCGCACGCTTGCCGGCTATTTGCGCGGAACCGTCCCTTCTCCTCTTCCTCCTGTCTGCAAAGCTGAAAGTTTGGGGGAAATCTAAGACAGTGGCCCCCAACTTTTGGGCATCACAGACCAGTTCTGTGGAGAGAGTTTTTTCCACGGACTGGAGGGGGCACGGTTTTGCATACTGCCTGAACCCCGCAGATGGGGCTTTGCTTGTTTGCGCGGCCCGGTTGCTGGCAAGCTGCAGACTTGTCCAACCCCCTGTTCAAGCAGGAAACCCTATACCATTTCAGACAAATGGCTGTCCAGTCTCTTCTTAAAAACTTCCAGTGTTGGAGCATTCACAACTTCTGGAGGCAGGTTGTTCCACTGGTTAATTGTTCTCATTGTCAGGAAGTTTCTCCTTAGTTCTAGGTTGCTTCTCTCCATGATTAGTTTCCATCCGTTGCTTCTTGTCCTGCCTTCAGGCGCTTTGGAGAAGAGCTTGACTCCCTCTTCTTTGGGGCAGCCCCTGAGATACTGGAAGACTGCTATCATGTCCCCCCTCGTCCTTCTCTTCATGAAACTAGACATACGCAATTCCAGCAGCCGTTCCTTATATGCTTTAGCCTCCAGTCCCCTAATCATCTTTGTTGCTCTTCTCTGCACTCTTTCTAGAGTCTCAACATCTTTTTTACATCGTGGTGACCAAAACTGGATGCAGGATTCCAAGTGTGGCCTTACCAAGGCCTTGTAAAATGGTATCAACACCTCACGTGATCTTGATTCTCTCCCTCTGTTAATGCAGCCTAACAATATCTATGCTGGTATCAGAAGACGAGTGGGAGAGTTGTCCAGAGTCACAACAGAAGTGTGTTTTGCACACCCTCTGCTGGTATAAAGTTCACATCTTCAAAAAGCTTTTAAGATCTGAGCAGTCGGAAAGCAGCAGTTTGAAAAGAGAATGGATGCTATCCCAAAGGTGCTTTTTTTCAAGGGGAAACTGGACTTCCTTGTTTTTCCTTTGAAGACGTTTTGCTTCTCATCCAAGAAGCTTCTTCAGCTCTGACTGGACGGTGGGGAAATGGGAGGAAATTATAATATAATGATGTGATCTGGTCTGATCTAAATGTCATGGTTCCAGTAGAAATAAGAACTCCGAGGCAATTGCTTTCCTCAAAGAACACATCTAATGGCTACATAGTGTGGGAAGTCAGCCCCCCCCCTAGAGAAGGAAATATTAAAAGGGCAGAAAAATATATTTCCTCAAAGGATCTTAAAGAGGCAGAAAAGCATGCCCAGTTTTTTTTTCTTAATAGCCCCAAGTCTCCCTCCCCCAAGCAAAAACCAGCTCTGTAGAAATGCAGATGTGATAATCCATTCAGGAAGGTAGGAGCCATCCAGCTGGAAGCTTAGGGAGACAAAGACATCTAAAATCTACATACCCACCCAAACTCTAAGACAGGACCTAATAGGATTAACCCACAGATGCCAAAGGGACACAGGTCAAAATACCTGACACAGGAAATACAAAGCCTCAGATAGGAACAGGAAACAACCTCAAGAACTCCAGAGGGTATAAAAACCCACTCCCTACATGTGCTTTTCTCTTTTCTTCCAGAGCCAATCTTTCTGTCTGGCTCTCCTCTTCAATAAACTGCAACCTTCTTTCTAAAGCAGTCACCATGTTGTTTATTCCCGGCTTGGACTTCCTTCAAAAATAGTATCGGCACGAACAAAGGTGAAACCAAGACTGAAAGTCCCCCCCCCAAGTTTACAAAGTAACAAGTTGAACTCCCCACCCCTGCAGTGTGTCACAAATCACAATCCCCAATTAGCTAATTTGGCGGGCTTTCGAACAGTAGCTTCAGCCAGCCAAAACTTAGGTAACAGGACCTTGGTTCCCACAGAACAATTTATTGTTATGTCTAAACTAAAGGAAAAAACATCTTCCCCCTCCCATTACTGTGGCAACTGAAAACAAAGTAAAGATGGGTGCAGCCAAAATTGGTTGAAGGTTGATTCAAATCTACTCTACTCTACTCTATTCTACTTACTCTAATTTAATCTAATCTAATCTAATATCTAATCTAATCTAAATCTAATCTAATCTAAATCCTTCCATTCCCCATCATTCAGTCAGAACTGAAGAAGCTTCTTGGATGAGAAGCGAAACACCTTCAATGAAAAACAAGAAAGTCCAGTTGCTTCTTGAAAAAAGCACCTTTGGGACAATTATAACCTGGTTGACTGAGCATCTCCCTAGACATTCAGCATGGACACCGATATTTATCTCTGTTCTACAAGCAGCATTTGGTGAGCTATTCTATTTTAATCTTTTTCTGGTGGAATATTGTTGCAACATTGCCATAAGTTCTTGAAAATAATTAGCATATCATCACGGATCAGACGTCGAAAAGAACCGATATCTGGAAAAAAAGGCTGTCCTTTTTGGATGGATCCAAAGAGAAGCAACCTAGAACTAAGGAGAAACTTCCTGATAGTGAGAACAATTAACCAGTGGAACCACCTGCCTCCAGAAGTGGTGAATGCTCCAACACTGGAAGTTTTTAAGAAGAGACTGGACAGCCATTTGTCCGAAATGGTATAGGGTTTCCTGCCTGAGCAGGGGGTTGGACTAGATGACCTTCAAGATTCCTTCCAACTTTACTATTATTATTATTATTATTATTATTATTATTATTATTATTATTATTATTATTATTATTATTATTATTATTAGGAACTGTGTTCGAACAAAATTTTATTTAAATGTGTGTTAATCCCAGTAACTTGGGCCAGGCACATATCTATCATCTGAGAAACAATTAAAAAAAAATAAAAATAAAAATAAAATAAAATAAAATAAAATAAAATAATAAAATAATAAAATAATAAAATAAAAATAAAATAAAATAAAATAAAATAAAATAAAATAATAAAATAATAAAATAATAAAATAATAAAATAATAAAATAATAAAATAAAATATAAAATAAAATAAAATAATAAAATAAAGTAAAATAAAATAAAATAAATAATAAAATAAAATAATAAAAACAATAAAATAAAATAATAAAAAATAATAAAATAAAATAAAAATTAATAATTAAAAATAATAAAGAATTAAAAAAACAAACGAAAACTCAAAAGGCAAACTCCATGGACCATTCGGGTTTTTTTCTGCCATTGGTTTTCTATGTGTCCGGGGGGAGCGTGGGAAAAGCGGCTCCAGCTCCGACGCGCTCTCTGGAGGACCGCGCGCCGCCCCCCTCCCTCCCAGAGCCCGGGCTGCGGATCATAGATTGACAGCTGCGTGCCAGAGGGTCCCCTCCCCTCCGCCTTTGTTGTGTCCGCTCTAGGATTCCCCGCACCCGTTTGTGGTCTTGGCCTTCTGTTGTTTTTTCCCCCTCCCCCCTCCCTCGGCTCTNGCGGCGCTATCCGGACCCATCCGCCAAGATGGTGAGCGGCGCCCCGGGCGAAAAGGGCCGATACCCCGAGGGGGGAAGGCCGGCGACCCCCTCGCAGCCCCATTTTGTGACGCAGGCGCCCTCGGGGTCCGCACCGGCCCTTCTTGCCGGGAGACCCCCCCTCCTCGCCCCGGCCTCTCCCGACAGCCATTTTCAGGGCAGTTGCTCTCCCGCCCCCCCCCCCCCCCCCCGCGCGCCCCCCCCCCCCCGTCATGCCCATTGCAGGAGGGGGTGATGTCAGTGACGTCCCCTCCCTGGAGGACCCCTGTGTGTGTGTTTGTGTGTGTGTGTGTGTGTGTGTGTGTGTGTAGGGGGGGAGATGTCAGTGTGGGTCTGTTTGCCTGGCAGCCTCTTGGGTGCCTCTTTCCTCCCTGTTCTGATAAAGGGTGGGCTGTGTGTCGCCCATTAGGGTGGGTTAGGGGCAGGCAGGTGTGTGTGTGTGTGTGGGGGGGTCGTCTTCTTACCCTGCTTCACAGGTGTGTTGGGAGGACCACAAAGTCCATCATCTCTTGCTTTGAGAATGAGTCCAACACAGCTGATAAAGATTTATATGTAAGGCTGTGTCTGTGTGTCTGTGTGTGTGTGTGTAGATAGATAGATAGATAGATAGATAGATAGATAGATAGATAGATAGATAGATAGATAGACAAATGTATGTGTATTCGTTGTTTATATGTGTGTTATGTATGTGTACAGTTTTGAGAGCAGGCAACGGAATTTCATTTTTAATGTGTGCCAGTGTGCCCGCAGTAAAAATGACACGGTTATCCTATCCCATCCCAAATCCTATCCTTTCCTTTCCTATCCTATCCTATCCTTTTCTTATCCTATCCTATCCTATTCTTTCCTATCCTATCCTGTTCTTTCCTATCCTATCCTATCCTTTCCTATCCTATCTTTTCCTAAATCCTATCCTATCCTATCCTTTCCTATTTTATCCTATCTTATCCTTTCCTATCCTATTCTTTCCTTTCCTTTCCTATCCTATCCTATCCTTTTCCTATCCTATCCTATCCTATTCTTTCCTTTCCTATCTTTTCCTGTCCTATCCTATCCTATCCCTTCCTATCCTATCCTTTTCCTATCCTATCATATCCTATCCTATTCTTTCCTTTCCTATCCTATCTTTTCCTATCCTTTCCTTTCCTATCTTTTCCTATCCTTTCCTATCTTATCCTATCTTATCCTTTCCTATCCTATCCTATCCTTTTCCTATCCTATCGTTTCCTTTCCTATCCTATCTTTTCCTATCCTAGCCTATCTTTTTCTATCCTATCCTATCCTATCCTATCCCATCCACTTGGATATTCTGCATGACAAGGGGAGGGGGATTCTTAAAAGCTAGAAGAAGTTACTCAGGCCTGGCATTTATTATTGTCATGGTTGGTTGCACAATCAGCCAGATGTTTAGGCTGGGATTGGGCATTTTTGCCCACCTATGGAGCCCTTCCCAACCACCTGGGACAGGCAGATGTTGTTTAACAATATTAAAAGTGTCATTGCAGGATATAAATTGTTCCAAGTCGAGATGCCTTTTGCAGCTGACCGAGGGGGATTTTTTGTCAATACCCCTGGGGTTCCAGATGTTTTGGGACTGCACCCGAGGTGCCAATGACCGTCGGCTGCCTCTGCTTTCTTTTGCCACAGTCATTGTATTTTGCAATGTTCTCTGGTTCTTTCTGTTCTAGTCTGTCTCCAGATCTCAGTGCAATCAATGTCCGCTATCCAGACTATTACAATTACTAATTCTTGAATCTCCTTAGCAGTGCAGGTCCTACTCCCCCTTCACCGTCTCCTAATAACATTTTTCAAAATCTCACTGTGAGCTTGACACTACTGCATAATTGTGGCTTTTTTTTTTTGCTCCTTAATTCAAAGGGACTTTTTCCCTTTGATGCTGGCATTGTTTACAATATTGTTCTGTTATTAAAGGGCTATTATTCTGTATCTCCGAAGAAATAGAATAATGTCCTGTATGTATTGGTTAATCCAAAGCTGATACATATTTGCTTTATTTTCCCCCCCAAAATCATTTATATTATAGATATGGACTTCTTTCTTGCTATTCCAAATAGCTTCCTAAATGCCCTCTTTCCTGTATTATTCAGATATTTTTTTTTTTAAAAAATCATCTGTTTATGATCATCCTGGTGTGTGTTCATTGCAGTGACTTTTGTGGATGTCTTGAAACACTGCACAAGGTTATTTAAGGAAGAGCAGCATTTGAGGTGGTGAACTAGAGAACACACTATGTATTTTTTAAAATATATATATATTAATTGGTATCTTTTTATATGTCCGTTCTGTGAATTGTCCAGTAAAAAAATTAACTGTGTTTTAGTAGCTTTATACTGCAGCAGGAACTGCAAGAATGTTTTTTTTTGGGGGGGGGGAATAGTTTCCCCACCCTGATCTGCATAGCTTTAAATAGCTGCAGAATGTACCGAGCATATTTAAAGAAACACGATCAGAATTTTGCATTTTACACAGAGGCAGAATTAGATGTCTAACAAGGATGAGAATTCACATCTAGAGTGTTTAAAAAGTGTTCATCAATAATCCTCACCTGTAAGGCAGGTTCAAAACATCATCCTTTTTCTCTGCTTGGCTCGAATGCGGTTTATTTAGTATAATATTTGCATATCTTAACCAGAAAGCAATATACTTTCTTAAGTTCACATGTCCTACTACTCCTTGCTGTGTTTATTCTGAAATGTCTCGAACTGTCTTAAATAAAGCCAGTTTCCAAATAAACATGTTTTTTTTGCCAGAGAAATTTGTACAAAATGGCTGAATTTCGGTAGCATTTCAATTTGTGCGGATAAACCACAGTTGCTGTGTTTATGTACTGCCCCATGCACTCCCTTCCCCAATAAATCCAGGTTATAACTTAAGAAAATGAACATATTCACACAACATATGACAATGGCTGCATTCTGGAAAAGGTTTTGAACCACAAACTGCCCAACTCCTTTGTAGTCCAGTAACATGGGCAAATGTGCATTGTAAATTGAGCCAAAGACTTGTGCTGTTAACAGAGTAACAGAATTGGAAGGGACCTTGGAGGTCTTCTAGTCCAGCCCCCTGCTCGAGCAGGAGAACCTAGACCATCTCAGACAAGTGACTGTCTAGTCTCTTAAAAATCTCCAGTGATGGAGCGCCCACGATTTCTGGTGGCAAGCTGTTCCACTGGTTAATTGTCCTCCCTGTCAGGAAGTTTCTCCTTAATTCCAGGTTGCTTCTCTCTTTGGTCAGTTTCCAACCATTGTTTCTCGTCCTGCCCTCTGGTGCTTTGGAGAATAACGTCACCCCCTCCTCTTCTTGGTGGCAGCCCCTCAGATAGACCTACAAATAGAAATAGAAAGACTGTGGCAAAGGCAAGCAAGGGTGGTACCAATAGTCATAGGTGCCTTGGGTGCAATCCCAAAACAACTGGAGCACCACTTGAACACCATCACCGGCATTGACAAATTCGCCATCAGTCAATTGCAAAAGGCAGCCTTACTAGGAACTGCTTCCATCCTGCGACGATATCTGTAATACCATCAAACATCCACATCTGCCTATCCCAGGTCCTGGGGAAGGACTCGATAGGTAGACAAAAATGCCAGAACCAGTCTGAACATCTGGCTGACTGTGCGATGATCAATAATAATAATAAAGTTGGAAGGGACCTTGGAGGTCATTTAGTCCAACCCCCTGCTCAGGAAGGAAACCCTAGACCATTTCAGACAAATGGCTGTCCAGTCTCTTCTTAAAAACTTCCAGTGTTGGGAGCATTCATAATTTCTGGAGGCAGGTTGTTCCACTGGTTAATTGTTCCCACTGTCAGGAAGTTTCTCCTTAGTTCCAGGTTGCTTCTCTCCTTGATTAGTTTCCATCTGTTGCTTCTTGTCCTGCCTTCAGGCGCTTTGGAAAATAGCTTGACTCCCTCTTCTTTGGGGCAGCCCCTCAGATACTGGAAGACTGCTATCCTGTCCCCCCTCGTCCTTCTCTTCATTAAACTAGACATACCCAATTCCAGCAACCGTTCCTTATATGTTTTAGCCTCCAGTCCCCTAATCATCTTTGTTGCTCTTCTCTGTACTCTTTCTAGAGTCTCAACACCTTTTTTACATCGTGGTGACCAAAACTGGATGCAGGATTCCAAGTGTGGCCTTACCAAGGCCTTGTAAAGTGGTATTAACACTTCCCCTGAGCTTGATTCTATCCCTCTGTTAATGCAGCCCAGCACAGTTCAGTAAACTCTCTCTCCCATTGACAGAAATATCACCATATCTATTCTTCCTCTCCCCTAGTTTAGCACTGTTTAGCAAATGACATATAAATAATAGTGGGAAAGAGACTGGATGGAACCTCAACTGTGGCTTTCATTAACAGATCAAAAATATAACTCTTAAGAAACTGATATTTAACCACACTGACATTTAGAGGGAGGTAGATGTACCTTGGGTTATAGTAGGATTACTCTGCTCAGTTACCCAGAAATAAATCCCATTGGGATTTTTACACTTTAATAAACTGTAATTTTACTCAAGCTAGTATTATAGAACACTTCTACAGTAAGAGGTACAATAAACTTTGATTATTTAGGCTGATCCCATAAGCTCCTTACACATATTGCAATAGAAAAATAGCCGAGGGCAATTGGTTTTTTATATATATACATAATTTTTACGGAAACTTATAAACAATAAAATAAAATCCAATGCAAACTGAAGCGAGGTAGAAAAAAGAAAGAAATCAAAGAAAAAATGAAAAGTGAAAGAAAAAAATAGTTGGAAAAAACCACAAAAGAAAGAAAAAATATATATAAAGAAAATGGCTTCAGAAGTAATAAATATATTCATAATATATACAATTGTAAATTGACCTCTTTTTCTAAAGCTTAAACATGGGTCTCTTTCTGTAATCTATCCAGTCTAATTATCAAAATGATAAATAATAAGTTCATTTTTCTGTCCTATATTTTTGGTAGTTTCATCCGTATTGTGATAGGTCAATTCAAAAATTGTTTTTGATTGTAACCTTCAGTAAACTCTGCTAGTATTCATCCATTTTGTCCAAAGAAATTTCTTAACATTTTATACCATAGCCGAGAAACGCATTTTGCCTATTTGCATGATCTGTACTTAACAATGTTCCCTTTTTTGTATCTTTAATATAACTTTCATTTCTTTTTCTATCTTGCATGCCAATCCACTCCCCGGTTTATTTGCAGATTCAAAATTCCTTTGTCTTACAAGTTCATCTTTAATTCCATCTCTCTCAACTGCTAACAGAGATAATTACATCTGTAAAAGCTTAATTTGGTGAATAATAGTTGCCATCCCTGGAGAATTTTAAGATTTATTTTTTTTAAAAAAAAATCTCACTCAGAATCACCAGTATCTTTTCTCCCCTTTTTCAATCTGCTATTGTGTTGTAGAAAATGCTCTCTTAACAAAACCTTTACTTAACACCCCAAACCTCCTTACTTTTGTATTGTTAATAAGATTATTCTCAAAAAAATGTTTTTGTCTAACCTCTTTTTTATAATCTTAGACTACCGTTTTGCTTTGTAATAATATCTCATTCCATCTAAAAGATCCACGGCATACGTGGGTTTTTTTTTTCTTTTACAATATTTTATTAATTTTCCAGTTTTACATTTGAATATTTAAAAAGCAACGTGGTGACTGGGTTAATCAATAGCTTAATAACAAAATCTTAGTGCAAATCTCAGGCTACAACATCAAATATTTCTTCTCTTTTTCCCTTAACAATTACTGTCTCATGTTCAGGTTGGTTCATTTCTAATTATATCAATTCAATAAGGACATCATGATTACATTTATCGATAATTTTTTAGCTTATACATACCTTAATTACCTTCAATCTTCATAAACAATCCATATCCCGTTATTAATTTTTAGTCAACTTTTAATTTCTTGTCAATAGTCCAATTTAACCGTCGATGTTTATAATTTTCAGACTTTGGGTAACCAAAATTTCCCTTATTTCACGTGTTTAATATATCGTCCTCAGCTCTATCATTTCCATGGGGGCCTTAGCAAGTAAAATTGACAGTCCTTTCATCACAACTCACAACTCTGTGTAGAAATGTAGGGACTCCACAGACTTTGGCTGCCTTTGCTGGTTAACGCCACAATTGTACGTGTCGGTCGGTTGCCCTTCTCTCTCTGGCCAAGGGACATTGTGCATTGTGAGAGCTTTCAGAAATGAACACTTGGCTTCCTGTGCCTTCTAGACAAGACTTGTGGACTTCAACTCCCAGAATTCCCCAGCCAGCATCACCAGTGGACGATCCCTTGACCGTGAGCCAGCCGTGTGCAGCAGCAACCGAAAAAGCTAACACAATCCTGAGTTGTATAAACAGAGGCATGGAATCAAGATCACGCAAAGTATTAGTACCACTTTATAAAACCCTAGTGAGGCCACACCTGGAATACTGCAGCCAGTTTTGGTCACCACATCACAAAAAAGAGAGTTCAGAGAAGAGCAACTAAGATGATCCAAGGCCTGGAGACTAAAATATACGAAGAACGGCTGCGGGATTTGGGTTTGGCTAGTCTAAAGAAAAGAAGAAACGGGAGACATGATAGCAGTGTTCCAGTATCTGAGGGTCTGCTGCCAAGAAGAAGAGGGGGTCAAATTATTCTCCAAAGCCCCAGAGGGCAGGAGAAGAAACAATGGATGGAAACTGGTCAAGGAGAGAAGCAACATGGAATTAAGGAGAAACTTCCTGACAGTGAAGATAATCAATCAGTGGAACAGCTTGCCACCAGAAATTGTGGGCGCTCCATCACTGGAGGTTTTTAAGAAGAGGCTAGACAGTCACATGTCTGAGACAGTATAAGTCAGTGGTGGCGAACCTATGGCACGGGTCCCAGAGGCGGCACTCAGAGCCCTCTCTGTGGGCACGCGCGCTGTCGCCCCAGTCCTAGGCCTTCAGCTGGGTTTTATAAAACCTTTTCGCTTTAGGCCTCCGCCGCCGTGTGCAAAAAAAAAAGGTTCAATCAATCAGTCAATTTCAACTTCTCGCGGGGAAAAAAAAGATCTTGCAAAGTTGGAATTGATTGATTGAACTTTTTAGTCCCACCCAGTCTGCCGCTTCCACCGCAGCCACGCCCACCCAATGGGCCACGCCCACCCTATTGGCAACACCCAGCCAACGGGCCACACCCACCCGGCACCCGACGATGCATAAGTGGGTTTTGGGTTGCAGTTTGGGCACTCAGTCTCTAAAAGGTTCGCCATCACTGGTATAGGGTTTCCTGCTTGAGCAGGGGGCTGGACTAGAAGACCTCCAAGGTCCCTTCCAGCTCTATTCTATTCTATTCTATTCTATTCTAAACCTGGAATTAAGGAGAAACTTCCTAACAGGAAGGACAATTAACCAGTGGAACAGAAGTTGCCTCCAGAAATCGTGGGCGCTCCATCAGTGGAGGCTTTTAAGAAGAGACTGGACAATCACCTGTCGGAGATGGTATAGGTTCTCCTGCTTGAGCAGGGGGCTGGACTAGAAGACCTCCAAGGTCCCTTCCAGATTCTATTCTGTTCAACCCTTTCTTGATCGCACATAATTAATCCGTCAAATGCCACGAAACAAAACCTCCAGCCGTTAACGTTCCCTGTCTCTTTTTATTTACTGGGTTTTTGTTTTTTTTCATTTTCAGGTGAATTTTACAGTCGACCAGATCCGAGCGATCATGGACAAGAAGTCCAACATCAGAAACATGTCGGTGATTGCTCACGTCGATCACGGCAAGTCGACGCTGACAGATTCCTTAGTGTGTAAAGCGGGCATCATTGCTTCTGCCAGGGCGGGCGAAACGCGGTTTACCGACACGCGGAAAGATGAACAGGAGAGGTGCATCACAATCAAATCGACGTGAGTACTTTTTTGTTTTTTTTAACTTTCCCTGCAGGCTTTTTCCTGGCTTGTAAAGTACAAACCGGTTCTGAAGGTAGCACCCTTAACGTTTGGTTTATGCTGGTTTATTTAAAAAAATATAAGTTCTCTCTCGACTGATTTTATAGGCCACAATGTCTGACTCTAGTAATTTAGACATTCTATTCTGTTGTGCTCTATTCTATTTTATTCTATTCTATTCTATTCTATTCCATATTCTATTCTATTCTATTCTATTCAATATTTTCTATTCCATTCCATTCCACATTTTCTCTATTCTATTCTATTCTATTCTATTCTATTCTATTCTATTCTATTCTATCCCATAATTCTATTCTATCCTATCCTATCCCCTATTCTATTCTATTCTATTCTATTCTATTCTATTCTATCCCATAATTCTATTCTATCCCATAATTCTATTCTATCCTATTCTATTCCCTGTTCTATCCTATCCTATCCTATCCTATCCCATAATTCTATTCTATTCTATTCTATTCTATTCTATCCCAAATTCTATTCTATCCCATAATTCTATTCTATCCCATAATTCTATTCTATTCTATCCCATAATTCTATTCTATTCTATTCTATTCTATTCTATTCTATTCTATTCTATTCTATTCTATTCCATAATTTTATTCTATCCTATTCTATTCCCTGTTCTATTCTATTCTATTCTATTCTATTCTATTCTATTCTATTCTATTCTATCCCATAATTCTATTCTATCCCATAATTCTATTCTATCCTATTCTATTCCCTGTTCTATCCTATCCTATCCTATCCTATCCTATCCCATAATTCTATTCTATTCTATTCTATTCTATTCTATTCTATTCTATTCTATTCTATTCTATTCTATTCTATTCTATTCTATCCCAAATTCTATTCTATCCTATAATTCTATTCTATCCCATTCTATTTCCTGTTCTATCCTATCCTCTCCTATCCTATTCTATTCTATCCCATAATTCTATTATATTCTATCCCATAATTCTATTCTATTCTATTCTATTCTATTCTATTCTATTCTATTCTATTCTATTCCATAATTTTATTCTATCCTATTCTATTCCCTGTTCTATTCTATTCTTTCTTTTGTTCTGTTCTGTTTGCCACACTATTCTTCGCAAACAAGGATTTCTGCATTATTTGTACGAGAAGCATACAAAACAAAGAAATGTGACTGATATATACTGCTCAAAAAAATAAAGGGAACATTTTACCATGGAACTGAAGGGGTTTGCGTTCCCTTTATTTTTGTGAGCAGTATATTTTACATCAGTGTTTCTCAACCTTAGCAACATCAAGATATTGCTAAGGTTGAGAAACACTCCTTTACATCTTTATAAAAGATATTCAACCAGGTCAGGCAAAGACTTGTAGATGAGTACGCACAACACTCTAAACATAGTTAATGTTAATCTCATTGGGAGTTTTGGCTGATTTCTGCTTCCGCCTAGGGTGAATTAATTTAGCAACAAGTGAAATGTGCTGGATGGAGACATGTTGTCAGCTTGTTTCATTGAACTCAACACTTTCCCTCTTCCTCATCAACGTCTCTGGTTGAAATGGTCCTTTTTAATTTTAGTGAGTGTATAGGTCTGGAAGTTTTTAAGAAGAGGCTGGACAGCCATTTGTCTGAAACGGTATAGGGTTTCCTACCTGAGCAGGGGGGGTTGGACTAGATGACCTCCAAGGTCCCTTCCAACTTTATTATTATTATGGATCATCCGCACAGTCAGCCAAATGTTCAGACTGGATTTGGCATTTTTGTCTACCTATCGAGTCCTTTCCCAGGACCTGGGATAGGCAGATGTGGATGTTTGACGGTATCACAGATCTCGTCGCAGGATGGAAGCGGTTCCTAGTAAGGCCGCCTTTTGCAATTGACTAATGGCGAATTTGTCAATGCCGATGATGGTGTTCAAGTGGTGCTCCAGTTGTTTTGGGATTGCACCCAAGGCACCTATGACTATTGGTGCTACCCTTGCCTGCTTTTGCCACAGTCTTTCTATTTCTATTTGTAGGTCTTTGTGTTTTGTTTTCTTCTCCAGTTTTGCTGTCTCCAGGCACTGCCACGTCCACTATCCAGACTTTTTTGTCTTTCTTATCGACAATTGTTAAGTCCGGGGTGTTATGTGGCAGGTCCTTGTCTGTTTGAATTCTGAAGTCCCAGAGCAGTTTAACTTTATCATTTTCTATGACTTTATTATTATTATTATTATTAATTATTATTATTATTATTATTATTATTA